TCTTCAGGCTCTCTGCTGAAGAGATGCCAGAGAGATTGGCTGATGAGCTGAACAGGTCGGTCACACCCAAGGCCATTAAGACAGATGTGAGGTTGTATTTTTCCTCCATCTTCATGCGGGGGAGATATACTTTCATTTTCTTCTCTTCCATCATGTTAGAACTGGTCCAATCCATGAGTTTTTCAAAGGTGATGGCAGTCTCAAGCTGCAAGGAGGCAAGCAAATGAGATCTCTGTGACGAGAGCACAACTTCCTTTGTGGCAATACAGTACCAGTCATGGGATTTTTTCTCTTTTAAACTGACTGCTCTTGGCATGGCATTTTTTTGAGGTACAGACAGATTAATGTATCTAAGAGAGGAAAGTAAACTATGACTCTTTCTGCTCTGCTCTGTCCTGCTTTCTGTTTCTTTCATAGGCTCGCTGCCAATTAGTTTTCTTAATGAGATGGCTACTCGTCAAATTTCACCTAAAGCTTTGTCCTATTTATCTTCTTTGCTTGGGAAATATATTGAAAAATAATTTTGTGCTTTTGAGTTGTAAGCGCTATCTACATTTAAGACCTCCAAGTAACCAGGTGTTAATGGTAACCAATTACTAAACCTGAACTATCATTTGTTTCTGAGGAGATTTAGCTGTGTTCAAATGCCTCTTCATTTTTATAATTTAGATTCTTTGAGTTAGTGTGCAAACATTTCAATGAACTCTCATTTGTTACATAACTTTTCCTATTCCCTGCCAATGACAATATCCCATGACTGTATCCTGTTCATAACAATAGTATATTATGTACATTTTATTTTCTGAAATTGCTTTAACCATTCTAATACCCCTCATACTCAGTTTTTAGATAGTGTAATTTTTGAAGGTATGAACGAAACATTTGGAGCACTGCCAAACTAGACAATAATTACAACTAGTAAAGCTAACAGGAACTTCCCAGGAAGCTCTTCAGTGTGCAGGAATGGAGATATAAAACCTTTGGAGTTCAAGCTGCTGGAGTAACAGCTGTTTAGCTGAGAGGAATCTGTTCTGCAGTGACCAATATTTAACCCACTAAAGCAGTTCCTTAAGCAATCCATGCTCAGCACAAACTATTGCAGGACCACTGAGGCAGCTGCATGCTTCTATGCAACAATCCCATGTTTCCAGTGTTCAGATCTGTGCTGGTGAAGTGTTTTAGGATAACTTTATTGTGAAGGGCTTTGCAGCACCTAAATTTCACTGTGTTTATAGTTTTCTGAAACCCAGCTGCCAGGGCCATACCTGCTCCAGGCCAGAGACATCATCAGGCAATATGACCAACATGCTCAGCTGCCCGCTGGCATATGGAAGCTCCAGGATCTTCATGTTCTCAGAAGCCATCACTGCCACTTTAAATGAACCAATCTGATACATCATCTGCACAGGTTTGCTTTCTTGCTGCAAAACCAAATAAGATGATGTTTTTAGTTTTTTTAGTTTTCACGAAAATTATTCTTAGAGTGTAGAAATGGCTACTTCTGGTTAAAACTACTGATTCACAGAATCACAGGATCACTAGGTTGGAAAGGACCTTCAAGATCATCCAGTCCAACCATTAATCCAGCGCCACCATGTTCCCTAAACCATGTCCTGAAGTGCCACATCCACACATTTTTTGAACACTTCCAGAGATGGCGACTCCAGCACCTCCCTGGGCAGCCGGTTCCAATGCCTGACCACCCTCTCAGTGAAGAAATTTTTCCTAATAGCCAATCTAAACGTCCCCTGGTGTAACATGAGGCCATTTCCTCTTCTCCTATCACTAGTTACTTGGGAGAAGAGGCCAACACCCTCGTTGCCACAACCCCCTTTCAGGTAGTTGTAGAGAGCGATAAGGTCTCCCCTCAGCCTCCTCTTCTCCAGACTAAACAACCCCAGTTCCCTCAGCTGCTCCTCATAAGACTTGTGCTCCAGCCCCCTCACCAGCTTCGTTGCCCTTCTCTGGACACGCTCCAGCACCTCAACATCCTTCTTGTAGTGAGAGGCCCAAAACTGAACACAGGATTCAAGGTGCGGCCTCACCAGTGCTGAGTACAGGGGCACAATCACTTCCCTACTCTTATAGGGAAAACTCATGTTTCCCTGATTGCTCTTGTTCAGGAAGATGGTGCAACAACTTGTCTACTCTCTTCATAAATGCTACAAGACACCTTTAAGGTGATGTATGCCCACGTACCTCAGTCATTTTGAAAGGCACTGTCTGGGTGTCTTCATCCTTAAATGCTTTCTCCCACATTCCTTTGAAGTAAATGGCATTAACAAGGACCATTTCAGTCTGGGGATCCACAGAGCTTGGCTGAAGTATGTTTTTGATCATTCCTTTAAGAATGCATAGGAAAAAAGAACACATGTATATAACACATCTGTGTATAACACATCTTTCTTGGCAATCACAATGTTAAATGAAGGGTATGGAATTCATGGGGAGCAGGGTGTAGGGCAGGGACATTGTTTTGTTTTTGCAGCTGTAATCTTGTACTTCTGAGGTTGATTTGCTCACGGCGTTGGCAATAGCTGTTGTTTCCCTCTCTGTAAAGAATTATAATGAGAGTTATAAGACCCAGAGATTTACTTGTTGCAAAATGAGCCTTTTATCTCAGGATGATCTCCAACCCAAACAGTAAACATAAATACTTCTGCTTCAAACAAAAGTTGAAAGGAGATGTCTATGTAAAGAAGGTAGCAGGAAAGGAAACCAGAATTTTGCTCTGCTTGCTTCTTATACTTTGTTCTTGTTTATTCTGCAGTCCTCATGCACAAAGCAAGCTCCTCCGTAGTCCTTTCCCACCAGTAGCTTAATCATGGCCTGGTTTTCTCCTTCAAAGAATGACACCACACCAGAGGTTGTGTGATTGTGAATATTTTCATTTCAGTTAAAATTCAGCATCTTTTATCTGTGTTTGCTGTTCAGGCCATGTTTTGAGAGGGCCAGGAAGAGACTGGAAGAATGGAGGAACCGCATGGCAATGCAGTAGGGTAAAAATCGCTATTGTGGTATACCTGTTTCTATGCATTTCATACACCTCCCTATCATTCCTTAACTCTGTGGTTTTCCATTGCCCTTTACCTGTTAAGATTTCTCACGTGCCTTATGATTGCATGCCTTACTCAATAGGCACACAACAACTCTGGGAAGCTTGAGGGCAAAGCACACTTATCAAAGGATATCCAGATTCTCCACATTAGTGTCAAACCACTTGTCAATGTGTACAAAGCATATTCTAGTGCTGTCCATTACATCGGGACTGGAAGTATTACATAGCCGCAAAGCCCCTAGAGATATAGAGAGTCCTCTAAAAGTGTCTAAGGGAAAAAAAAAA